ATCACCGACGGAGGCAAGGCCGGTGCGCTGCCCCGTCGCCCTCTTCCTCGAGCGCCATGGCGGCCTCGACCTCGCCCCCTCCCCCTTCCTCTCTTGGCCGGCTCCGCCGCTCCGAGCTCTTGGGGAGGAGGGACACGCTGTCGAGCAGAGACCCTCGCCGCCATCGTCGAAGGGCCGGCGCCTCCTCTCGCCATGGCAAATGGAAGAAAGAAGCCGAAGTGAATGGAGGCGGATGATGAAAGGATGTGGGATGCCATCCCCCTCCCCCTTCTTATAAAGGGGCGGGGTCGGGGCTCGGCCGCCCCACTCGACCAATCCGGCCATCGGGGGCGCAGGGGATCGAGACCGACCCGCTGCCCCAATCAGCGACGACCCGGTTTCCGCCTCCACCGCCTGCCACCTGCATGGGGGACATGTGGCGAGCAAGCGGAATCGAGGGGATGGGTGAGGCGACCGTTCCCCACCCCGTGATCATGGGGCGCAGACGCCTTGAAGACCATGACCCGAGTCCACTCAGTAAATGAGTCGCGCCTCTGCGTCTCCCTCTTTTTGTGGGGAAGGCGCGAGCCGCCTCTTTACCACGATGTGATGCATGCGTGCGGAAACCACCCCACGCATGACCCTCCATGTTGCGCGTTCAACACGGGTCATGGGGAAGCGCAGCGGACGAAAAAGTTACTACGGTAAAAAAATCCACCCCACCTGCCCGCGCACCGTTCTGGGCCTAGCCCAACAACGCGTCACGCTTATGTGTGCCCAGGCCCGGGGGCTCCTGTCAGTGTACAAAAGTAGGGGCTCTCCTTTTGCCCCCTTTACTTGTGCACGGGCAGTCAGAGCCTCTCCCGCGGCTACACTTAGCAGGGCAGAGGAGGGAAGCCGGAGCATAAGACATCCAAGGCAACACCAAGACCAGAGACACAAAGGGCAAGAGGGTGAGGTGGACTCCCCCGGAAGACCCTTGCCGGGACGGCCTCCGCGGCCCCGCCAAGAGCCTTGCCGGGGAAACTTTCCTGACGCCAACGGAGCGTGCCTCCCTTGAGCCCAAGGGTTCCAACACCATCAACCACATTGGGACCAAGGCTCGGGAGGCACCTCCGTGGTGGCATGTAGATCTTTGTCAAGATCATAAACACACGAGATCAGATGAGGACCAGAAGACGACGACCCTTAGCGGGATCCTAGCCGAGGAAATCCACAAGACCCCCGGCAAGATCCTTGCCGGGGACGACCACGACGCCACGGCAAGACCCTTGCCGGGGCCCCGGCAAGATCCTTGCCAAGGACATCAACAAGGCCGTAGCCGGGCCCATGTCTGCCAAGACTCCACCACCGTTCCCATGCAGCTGCTAGCTCAACCAGCTGGGCAGGCGCCTGCGTGGCGACGTGCGACCTCTATGCCAACTCAGCAAGCACCTACGTCGTGGCATGCAAATCTTCCTGAAGACTCCGCCTCCGCGCCAGCACAGCAGCTGGCCAACGTGGCACAACAATGCCTCGTTAGCTCGGACGCGCATCAGAACCAGGCGAGGCGGCGACAGCTGGGACGAGCTTCCTTGCCGTCCCCGATAAAGCAAGAGGGGCACGTCAGCAGCGCATTAAATGTGTTTGTCCAACGGTGCCAGAGGATAGACTCATCCACTGTACATCTTTCCACCTCATGTGTGCCACTGTGGCAACCCCTTTTGTTTATAAAAGGAGGCCCGAGGCATCCAGGAGAAGGATTCGGATCTTTTGGGCAAGTTACACCCCGTAGCTAGCTCAAGAACACAAGAACACTCAAATACATCCACCAAAGCAGGACTAGGGTATTACGCATCTCCACGCCCCGAACCTGGGTAATCGATATGTGTGCTTCCTATCAGACCCGCACTTTGCACAACCCCGCGCCCACCAACCGTAGAAGGGATCCCAGTGATTCCATAGGTGTCGATTTCCCCCGACACGTACTTTCGCTGCTTGATCGGTCGGAACGAGAAGAAGTTCGAGTACATCAACCACATTGTCAAACGCTTCCGCTTTCGGTCTACGAGGGTACGAGGACACACTCTCCCCCTCTCGTTGCTATGCATCTCCTAGATAGATCTTGCGTGAGGTAGAATTTTTTTGAAATTGCATGCTACGTTCCCCAACAGGTTTCACGTCGAAAACAAAAAAATGATGCAATTAATGGGCTAATAACTGATTTTTGCCTATTCCCAAAGCAAGAAGTCCTATGAATAGGAAATTCAAATCTGAAAAGAAGTACTACTAAATGGAAGCAACGAAATAATACAAAGAAATAGACATGTCCTACCCACTAGCTTCCTGCTTCTCATGCCCAACGTCTTTGGACCATCAGATCCTAACTAGAAGAGATCTAGACCACTGGCTCGGGAAAATAAAGGGAAGAATCTCCCAACAATTTATCAATCTATCTCGACCATCGGATCCTAGCTAAGCGATCTAGATCCTTTTTATATATAGGTCACTTTTGGTCTTGAAATTTCATTTCATGGTTAATGCAATTTATCGTATTGTGGTATTACTTCTCAAAAGATTGTAACCTTTAGACATAGTCCCTCCATCGTGGGTTTTTAGTCACATGTTTAAAACCCCAACAATCAAGAAGGACCTAAATGGGTGATATAGTCAACATATTAATGCTACATGCATAACCACCCCTCTCCTTCATGCATAGGTTGGTTTCATGTTGTAAACCAATACATGATGCACTTTAATGGGCTCATAACTGATTTTTGCCTATTCGCAAAGCAAGAAGTCCTACGAATTGGAAATTCAAATCTGAAGTAGAACGTAAGCAACAAAAAATAAACAGAGCATTGGACATGTCCTACCCACCAGCCTCATGCTTCTCATGCCCAACGTGTTTGGACCATCAGATCCTAGTTAGAAGAGATCTAGACCGTCAGCTTGGGAACATAAACATGAAAACCTCCCAACAATTTATCAATGTGTTTGGACCATCAGATCTGAGATAAGCAATCTAGATCCTTTTTATGTATAAATCAAATTTGGTCTTGAAATTTCATAGCATGGTTGATCGACTTTATCAATCCGAGCTAACTGATCTAGATCCTTTTTATATATAAATCAAATTTGGTATTGAAATATTATAGCATGGTTGATGCAATTTATCAGTATTGTGATTTTACTTCTCAAAAAGACTGTAAAATTTAGATATGCTCCTTCCCTCATGGGTTGTCAGTCACATACTTATGGTCCCAACAATAAAGGAGGACTTAATTGGGTGATATAGTCAACATATTAATGCTACATGCATAACCAACCCTCACCTTCAGGCCGGTCATAGTGGGGAGTAACTTATACTAGTGTCATGCATATGACACGAGTCTAAATTACTATCTTCATAGTGCAAAGTAACATAGTATCAGTGTCATAGATGGCTTCATTTATTAGCTTGTAGACTCATCCTTTCTCAGGAAGCGCTATGTTACAGTAACATATTATGTTACAGTAACATATTATGTTACTCCAAACACCTCTCTCTTTATTAACTACATGCCACATAAGCAAAAAATTCTTGAAGTGCGCTATGCTACTACCTAAGTTACTCCCACTATGACTAGCCTCATGCATATGTTGGTTTCACATTGAAAACCAAAACATGATGCAAATTAATGGGCTCATAACTGATTTTTGCTTATTCCCAAAGCGAAAAGTCCTACGAATAAGAAATTCAAATCTAAAAAGAAGAACTACTAGAACGGAAGCAACAAAATAATACAAAGCACTGGACATTTCCTACCCACCAGCTTCTCATGTCCAACATGTTTGGGCCATCAGATCCTAGCTACAAGGGATCTAGACCATCGGCTTGGGAAAATAAACACAAAAACCTCCCAACAATTTATCAATGTGTTTGGACCATCAGATCCAAGCTAAGCGATCTAGATCCTTTTTATATATAAATCAAATTTGGTCTTGAATTTTTGTAGCATGGTTGACGCATTTTATTAGTATTGTGGTATTGCTTTTCAAAAAGATTGTATCTTTTGGATACTTCCTCCATTGTGGGTTGTTAGTCACATCTTTAAAATCCCAACAATCAAGAAGGGTGATATAGTCAACATATTAATATTACATGCATACCCCCCCCCCCCTCCTCCTTCATGCATAGGTCGGTTTCACGTTGGAAACCAAAACATGATGCAAATTTGTTGGCTCATAACTGATTTTTGCCTATTCCCAAAGCAAGAAGTCCAACCAATATGAATTTTTGGAAAAATAGAACGGAGCCAAAGGAAGAGAATGCAGTGGACATGCTTGCAGCCTTCTACTGCTACTCATGCCCAACGTATTTGAATCAACAGATCCGTGCGAGAAGCGTGTCCCCCCGCCCCCAAAAAAACGGGAACTATGCTCTTCTTTCTAAACCATATTATTTCTTCCCACGGCGAATGTGGAGTTTAGCTGGCCTCCTCACTCATCACTCTGTTGTCCCCGAAAGCCATTTTTTTCTTCTTTGTATTCGGGGTACAAGTCATTAAAGCAAGTCGAAACAATCTTTGTCCGTGCCACTGTGCATTCGATTCGTGACCAGATACATTTCAGTTTCTTGTTTTTTTTGATTTGGATACATTTCAGATTTCATTAGCTTTTTATTTTTTCGAGACATCAGATTTCATTAGCCGAACAAGGAAACTTTTTGGCAGCAGCAATCGCGCACCCGAAGCCCAGTGCAGTGGCCCACCACCCACCCACAGACGACCGTTGGGGGGCGCCGGTCCGGTCCGGTCCACTTTAAAAGGCAGCCCCGTGCGCATCCATCAAATCGATCGATCCATTTCGAAAACGCGACCCGACTTCCCAATTTCCCCCCTTTCCCGTCCCCATTCCAGCCCAGCCGCCGTCTCGCTGCCCGTTGCTCCCCTTTCTTCCCCCGAGAGCTAACTCCCCGCCCGCCGCAACCACAGCCGGAGAGAGAGAGAGAGAGCGCGAAGAAGGCGCGCCGCCGCGAGGACGACCGAGGCCGAGGAGAGATGGCGTCGAGGATGGCGTCCAAGGACATCATCACGCTCAAGGGCTCCGCCGCCATCGTCAGCGAGTTCTTCGGTACGCGCGCGCCGCCACCCGATCCCCCTCCTCCCTCCTCCTCTCTCCAGTGTCTGATCGCGTGATTCGGTGGCAGGTTACGCGGCCAACAGGTGCGCGACGTCGTCTCTATCCCCGACGCCGGTTTATTTGAGATGGAGCGGGTAAGAGCAAAATTTCGGCAATGGGGATTGATTCGTGGTGTTTGGTGTGGCTGCAGCATCCTGTACAACCGCGGGGTGTACCCGGAGGAGAGCTTCGGCAAGGTGAAGAAGTACGGCCTCCCCATGCTGCTCACGCAGGACGAGGCCGTCAAGACCTTCCTCACCAACCTCACCTCCCAGCTCTCAGGTTCGTCGTCCTCATCTGAGATCTCTTGTTCCGCCTTGTTTTGCTCATCGAGGAAGGAGCATCCATTATTTTGCTCCTCACCTGTATGTTGCTGCGGACTGCAGAGTGGCTGGAGGGTGGGAAGCTGCAGAGGATTGTGCTGGTCATCATGAGCAAGGCCACCGGCGAGGTGCTCGAGCGCTGGAACTTCAACATCATCACTGACGGCGAGGTCGTCGAGAAAGGGTATGCACGCCGCTCTGATTCCCCCTGCCTTCCTGTCTCTTCGATCATCCGATTCAGTCCTAAATTCCTAATCGAACTGAAGAAACAGCGGTTGATATGACGCTTCTGATGGCTTGTCAGGGCGGTGAAGGAGAAGAGCGACAAGGAGATCATGAGGGAGATCCAGGCCATCATGCGGCAGGTCAACTCCTGCATCTCCTTCCTCCCCTGCCTCGACGAGCCATGTAAGGAAGGATAAGCATTAAGCAAAGCCATGCCGCCATTGCTCCACACCCTGTTGGTTGTACCTTGCGCTCTCAGTTGGGGCACTCTCTCCCTCTTTTAACTGTCGCGTCGATCATTTTGGGCAGGCATATTCGACGTGCTGGCCTACACCGACTCGGACACCACCGTGCCCTTCACCTGGATGGAGAGCGACGCCAAGCTCATCGACAACCCGCAGATGGTGAAGCTGCACTCGTTCGACACCAAGGTAACAACAACAATTCACTCATCCTCCGTCCATCGGTGGTTGCACTGCTCCATGAAACCTAATGCTAATGGTGTGTTTCTGTGACGGCAGATCCACAAGGTGGACACGCTGGTGTCGTACAAGGTGGACGACTTGGATGAGCAGTGACCTGTGGATGTGACCCAGAGCGTCCAGACATCCCCTGTAGGCGTGAAGCTCTCTCTGTGTGAATCGTTCATTCACGTCTGGCCGTCGTTATCGTACTGTTACCCCCCTGCCTCCCTGCGTCTACCAAAACCTGTACTGTTATTTCTCAAGAAAAAGTACTGTTATGTTATACCTGAATTGGATGTATCGCCTGCCGTTTTCCACGCACAGGCTCTAAGGCGAAGTTTGCCAAACAAACCCTATGTGTCAGTTTTGTCAAATAACTACTCCCTCCGTTCCGAATTACTTGTCGCAGATATGAATGTATCTAGATATATTTTAGTTCTAGATACATCCATTTCTGCGACAAGTAATTTGGAACGGAGGGAGTACGTGTCAGTCTGCCTCATTCAACATGTAAACAAAAGCGGCCTTCACGCTTTTCAGTGTCACAAGTAACTCCTGTATTGGATCTAAACCGGAAAACTAACAAAAGCTCCTGTAACAACAGCACCGAGCAAATTGAAACTCGGGAAACCTTACAGAGTTACCTAGATAGCCATTCCTATAGTCTTAAAATATGGCTCCCGAATACAGGAATACATTTACAGTCAGGGATGCCTAAGATTGGCTTCGAACTATGTTCAGCTGTATGGACGGGCCACTTCTATGGTGGACATTAATTTAGGGGTATGTTTTCCCATTTATTTTTTATTATCATAGAGCCCAAAAACTTGCCCATTCGGCCAAAACATGGGCAATGGGCAATGGGCAAGCAAACCCTCTCCACCTTGGGCAGGGCGAAATTGGGCTCAAAACCAACATACCCCAGATATAGATGCCCTTTGTCGGACAAATGACGCAGGATCAATCTACAAGCGAGCGCATCCCCTGGTAAATCACGCCAGGGCGAAGATCGTCCAGAGTATCAGCAACTCTGTAGCCACTATACTCCCTGAGGAGTGTCCAACCACGCCGTGATAGAAAATCTCTGAAGTCGTCTTCAGTGTAGAATGTCTTATCTTCTGTCCGGACTGTCATGCGGTCTGCATCTTCAAATGTGCAGAGTTTGATTGTTATCCCTGAAAATGAACATCCGGGGATGAGATTGTAACCACTTCCTCCGTTCACAAATATAAGGTGTTCTAACTTTTTTGTGAATCAGATGTATATAGACACGTTTTAGTTTGTTTGTTCACTCATTTCAGTCCATATGTAGTCCATATTAAAATATCCAAAACATCTTATATTTGTGAACGGAGGGAGTAGAATTCTTGTAATGGAGTTAAAAAGAACTTCAATAGTGATTAAACCAACAATTGCTTTGCTTCATACATATTGAAACAATTTCAATAACAATGTGAATACACAACACAGGTTGCCGAATAGGTTCATCTCAGTGGGGTCATCATGATCATTACTGGAAGCATCAAAATGAATGCCCATGAGCCATGCATAGAAGATTTACCGATTACTGACCAGTGACCAAGATGATGCAAGATAGATGCAAAATTCATCAAGTCGGGAAGAAAAAATGAACAATAATTTATCAATGATCCATAGAACTATACTATGTCCTTTTTGGTTCTTAAGATAAGAAAAGTAAAGAATCTTATTTCTTGGAGAAGAATACATTTCACAATTACCATTATCAAGATGAAGAGTATATACTCCGACTGGCATGTCCCTGTCCAAGGAACGAACAACCTCGTCCTCATCTTCAAGCCAAAAAGCTCGCCTTGTTCTTAATCCAAAGGCCGATTTGATGGCCTCTTTAATTGCCTCGGCAGTACCATCAATCCCTATTCTTTTAGTATAGTCACCCCACTTGACTAGGATGACCCTCCCACCATAAGTACCTTGATTATCTCCACCTGTATGAGGTTTATGCAGGTTTCCCAATCAATGCAACAGATTAAGAAAAGGAACATAAATAATTGAGTTGACCTGAGAATGTTATTATTCAGTGCTAATTTGTGTTGCTAGAGGTGAGTGTTTGTTCCATCCAAGCAAAGTTCTAGCACCTTAAAACATAGTCATAAAATTTATGTGTTACCTATCAAGTAGAAATACACTAAAACAGTAGCAGCAAGCCATCGAGTAATAGGACTATCAACAGATGTTTCCACATTCTAAAAATTGCACCTATGAAGAGTTCGTTACGTTTATAGGTTCTTAAAATCTTTTTTGTCTTCAGGTTTCTTAAAGGAGCAGGATATTCACATAACCAGAACAAATACTAATCCAGTTAAACACCAAATTCAGTTCATCAACTGAACAGTTGGACAGCAGCATTCCCAATCGTTCCAGTTTCATGCTGTTGAAAATCCGTAAGACCTTATAATGTATTCAACTTTCATTGTGTATGAACCAGTACCGTTAGTTGAGGTGTCTCTCCAGTTCCATGGATTCACACCATTGGTTGCAACTGCATCAGCTGTCGTTAAGGCAAGTGGATGACTCGCTGTAAAACAGAAACAGGCAAAAAAATGAATTCACCACTGATCATACCCTTGTCTTCACAAACCATAACTGCAGTAGCCAAATATTGATGACAGAAGTTGGATTATCAAAATACATGAACTGAATAATAAAACGATAAGGTGCAATTCAAGTTTGAGTTAGTACCAAACTGGTCAAAACGTCATCTTTACATGATGGCGCATCTGACTTTTTTTCCTTGATTAGTGAGCTATTCGGTTTAGATGTCAGGTTTTTTCACGAGTGAAGTGCAACAGAGGTCCTACAAGTATACCGAGGGTGTCAAGCAGTGGTGTAGCCAACGGGTGTGCCATGGACACCCAGAATTTTGAGGTATTTTTTTACCATATAGGAATTTGTCCAAGTTAACCCTTTTAAACAGCCCCCAAGCATAATAGGCAATAGCCCAATCAATTATGTTCTAGTGTGCACACCCACAATTTTATTTCTGGCTACGCCACTGGTGTCAAGTTAGTCCTAATAGTGCGGAAGTGCGTATTTGTGTCCTGTGCAATAAGTGAGTCACAAAAGGTCCTACCTGGGCCAAAACAGTGTTGGCCTGCATCATGGTGGGTCGAGCACACTGCCACATAGGCTGAGGGTCACTTGGCAGCAAAACTCTCACCAGGCAGTTACAAAACCTTTTCCAGCTACAAAAATGTTGAATTTTCTAATCATAAATCCTTTTCTCCATCCTCCTATTTATTACCTCTCTTCTTCTCCTACCAACTGCTCCTCTCTCTCTCTCTCTCCACTTTTCCAACACCCCACCTCTTTCTCCTCTATCCCATTGTTGGGAGACCCTTCTCCTGTTTATCAGCAGGGACGCGGGCAAGATGGGTACTTCTTCATTCGCCGGAGCTGACCTCTGCTGCTCGCCTCCGAATCACCCCTGAACATCACACGATTTGCCCTTCAGCTGGCCTAATTAGCAGTGGTCAACCCACCACACTTGGAGGTCAGAACTGATTCAGCCACGATAGGACCTGCAATGCCTCACTTATTGCATTACTGGGACTAAATATGCACTTCCATACATTAGGACTAACTCGACACTCTCTGCCAGTATACTTGTAGGATTTCTAATGCACTTTACTCTTTTTTTGTTAATTTACAATGATATAACTGTGCTTTTCAATCAAAGATAATTTCTTTCCCTGCATTCTCCTTTTGAGAGTTTTTAATCTCCATGTTTCAGTCTAAACAGTGTTAAAATTATGTATCTTACCATCTGGCAATTTTTTTTATAAAACCTCACCAGTTTTCTTTCTAGAATGAAGTTAACAACTAGTCAGTAATGAGAAAAAAAAAGCTCTACAAGGCTAAGAAAAAAAGGCCTCACCAAGAAACTCAGTATTGTTGGCACGTTTTTGGTGTGTTCACCCATTAAATGAAAATAACAACTGGTCCACAAACGACTTTAGCTCAAGCTTGGTATGTTAACCTCTAGGCAGGCACAACGTTCTGACAGAATATTGAGCCAAGTAAGTGGAAGATCATAGGTATAAACACGAAAGATGCTGACAAAAGGAGATACAGAAAGAAATAGGTAGCAATTAGTGCAGGGGAAGAATATATTAGTACCTTCAACAGGGCCAAATGGAATGTTGGCATCTTCAAAACCTAGATTGATAGCAGTGAACATGAATCCATAAGCTAACAGAAATCCAATCGATCATAAATCAAATATAAACACAAGTCCCAATGTTCAGTTACTAAACCCAGCAGTCATTATTGAGTAAGCAGACCCACCAGACACATATAAATCCAAAACCATATCAGATAGTGCTATCTAGTATGCACCCACCGACACACAACCCCGAGCTGGAGACCCATACAAATTGCAATGAACTAACTTCATGCTACTACACAATGTTGTGCCAGTAGTCAGCCAATGAACTGGACAGAAAACAACACTGTAATATCCGAATTTCTGCCGTTAGGTGCTTCTAACAGCTTAAGTTGCTATTAATTGGCGGTGCACAGGCAATAATTAATTGATGCGTACCTAAATTTACACTGATTGTATACCTAATCCGTTGATCTATGGTCAAAACTCGAGGTTGTAAGTTGTCATACTACTGTGACGAAGAGTTGAAATGCCTCTATCCATTTCAGCACAAAAAGCAAGGCTGTCTTAGTCAGAAGGATAAGGGGGAGCATCATACCTTTATCCGCGAATTGCAGGTAAGACTCGATCTTGGAGGTGGGCGTGGGGCTCTTCGCGGCGCCACCTCCACCACCACTCCCCGCGGGCGAGGCGGCCGCCTTCCCGCGGCGCTTGAGCAGGTCGTCGATCTCCTTGTAGTAGGCCATCTTGGCAGAGCCGTTCCCGCCGGCGCCGGCGCTGCTGCGGGCGTGGCTGCGCGCCTTCTTGAACTCCTTGAGGAGGTTGCGCCACTTGTCGGTGCACATGGTCGGGGAGCGGTCGAAGCCCTGCTCCCGCATCTTGGCGGAGATGGCCTCCCAGAGGTGCTTGTTGGACTTGGAGGTGTTGAAGTGGTTGTCCATCTCGCGCCGCAGCGCGATGAGGCTGAGCGTCTCGTCCTGGACCCAGGTCTCGGCGCGCTTCTTCGGGGCCGAGGCCCGCGAGGAGGAGTCGTGGTCGTGGGCGCCGCCGTCCTCGCCGCTGCTCTCCGGGAGCAGCAGCGGCGGGGTAGGCGGCTGCGGCCCGGAGAGGAGCATCGTCGCGGCGGAGGAGCGGCGCGAGGTGGTGGGGTGGAGCGAGACTGTGTTGCGTGCGTGAGGCGAGAGGGGAGCGGTGGTGGGAGTGGAGGCTCACTGGAGAGCGCAGCCGGGGCCCCTCTCCCGACGAGGGACGGTCGGGGTCTCCGGGGAGGAGGACAAACTTATCAGAGGACGGCCCTGCTGAGCCCGGCCCGGCCCGGCCATGACCCGTATGGCCAGCGTAGCGGGCTAGTCGAGCCCAGTAAATTTCAGGTAGCACATCCAAGTCGAATCCTCCTCAAGGCCTAAACCCACAACCTCCCTCGCGTACTCTTTTTCTTGGCAGAGCCGTTCCCGCCGGCGCCGGCGCTAATGGCACTTATGGTATGATCATTCAAGAAATTAGGAAGAGGGCCGAGAGGTTTAATAGCAATATCCTGTATGAAGGGCGCCGATCTAATAACGATGCGCATAGCTTAGCAAAATACTCTCTAAGGCTAGCTCAGGGGCGCCAAGTGTGGCTGTTACACCCCCACGATCCAGCATGTATCCCACAAACTGTGGTTTTTGATGAATAAAACTTTTGTTCATCCCTCAAAAAAAAAAATACTCTTTTTCTTTTGTAATCCTCAAAAAAGAAAAAACTCTATTTCTTTTGTCTAAAAAAACTACTCTCTTTCTTGAAAGAAGTTCATAGTTCACCCTAAAATGTGGGCTCACGGACACATAACCCCCCTGAAGTGACCCTAAAATCTACAAAACCGGCAAATCATACCCTTGAACGGTTTTGGGGCTGACGTCACATTTTAGGTGGTTTTGACTGATAATTACGATGTTGACCATTTTTCTTTTACCCTTCGGCTGTGAGGATGTTGAACCCAACAAAAATAAGGGATGACCCGATCAATTTAGGCAGTCTTCATTAGATCAGGATTGAACTCCAACCGTTGTGAGGAGTAGCTGGCATGGCATCAGCGACTTCATCCTCCGCAAGGGCAGCGGCTCCGGTCTTTTGTTGGCATGCAGCCTGATGTTGAATCTTAATTTGTACGCATGGTAGAAATTTTAGGACGAAAGAACGAAGGCACTAGCTGAAAATAGTCGGAGCAGATTGAATCGAACTATCAAAGCTGACGAACAGTTGGTGGAACGATCGACAATTGGGCCTCTTGCTCACCACAGAGGAGCCTATGCCACCACGGACAAGCTTCGGCAGCAGCCAGCTGACTCCATGGTGGGTTGGTGGCCAAGTTTGACGCGAAGCACAACGATGGCGGTGGAGCGGCCGCCCGCCAGAGTGACGGGCTGGCGCCATCGTGGTCTTGAACCAGCATGTGGGGAGCGTCTCCGTGGTCCAAGAATAAGATCAAGCCGTCTATCTTCGTAGTGTCGCACGGCTCCAATGCGGCAGATGTTACCGCCGGCGTTGACATCATCGACTCCATTCCACGGGCCACATCTCCCACGCAAGCAACACGGCGACTACGTCTCGGCGCTTGTCAGAAGTGTTGCCCTTTGGTGCTGGGCGCCATCCATAGTGGACGAAGCTCGGGTCGATGGGCTTGCCGGAGAGCCGCCAGCAGCGCTGGGAACACCGGGGGGGCTCAGGAAAGGCGGCAGAGGCGTCGGGCATCCTTAGAGCTAGGGAATCATGCACAACGGTGGCAGGCCAAAAACGAGGAAGACAACGTCCATGCTGTAATTCGGGAGGTGAACCGTGCTACTTCTTGAACTTGCGTTGGTTTTTCCCTTGAAGAGGAAAGGGTGATGCAGCAAAGTAGAGATAAGTATTCCCTCAGTTAGAGAACCAAGGTATCAATCCAGTAGGAGACAACGCACAAATCACCAATACCTGCACAAACAATCAAACAACTTGCACCCAACGCGATAAAGGGGTTGTCAATCCCTTTACGGTCACTTGTAAAGGTGAGATCTGATAGAGATAGATAAAAGTAAACAAAAGATAAAGTAAATATTTTTGGGCCTTTTTGGTTTATATATCAGAAAGTAAAAGATTGCAAAATAGTAGTTCGGAAATTTATATGATGGAAAATAGACCTGGGGGCCATAGGTTTCACTAGAGGCTTCTCTCAAGATAGCAAATAATACGATGGGTGAACAAATTACTATCGAGCAATTGATAGAAAAGCGCAAAGTTATGATGATATGTAAGGCAATGATTATGAAATGTAGGCATCACGTCTGTGTCAAGTAGACCGACTCCTGCCTGTATCTACTACTATTACTCCACACATCGACCGACTCCTGCCTGCATCTAGAGTATTAAGTTCATGAAGAACAGAGTAACGCATTAAGTAAGATGACATGATGTAGAGGAATTAACTCAAGCAATATGATGTAGACCCCATCCTTTTATCCTCGATGGCAACAATACATCCACTGGGCATCAAAGTTCATCACCAGTGCAAATATAGGGAACAAAGCAGCATATTACATACACTAGCCGTCAAAATTGGCCACCAGTGCAAATAAACGCGGCAGCAAAACAAGAGCATAACTGAAACAACTTCAGAAGAGCTCAAGAAACGTGGTATCCACCATGCTGGCAATAAGCTTAGCAAGCTTATTAGCTTTGTCGTGTTTGGCGCTAAAATTTCCAACGCTTGCTATTGCACCAGAAAGTATGCACCTGAATGCTCCAGGGACTTCCGCAGTCCTTCCGCTTCTTGTCGCAGCACAACTGATCGATGTCTTTCAGCTTGTAGTTGAGACTCAACAAACCAAACTGATTCGGACAGTGAGTTTGAATAGCTTGTGCAAGCAGTAGTGGCCAGTAACTCCAACACTAAGCCAAGACAGGACTTTGGGGTTGTCTCACTGTCCTCGAGATAGTCTTCCTTAGTTGTTTTATCAGCTTTGTTGTAGACCAACAAGGATGTGTCACTATCCTGAACCTTATCTGCATTACTTACTTTACCATTGCTTAATAAGGCACTCTTCCCCAATATTCTGTCAGCATTCTAAAAGAAGAAACAAGCAGACACATAACAGTTTAGCATGTACTAGTATATGAAACTCATTTCGGTGAACCAGTTCATTAGTAAGGTGGACAGGATTAAACTACCAAGTCTTCTATTGCCAAGTACTAGTACATAATAAAAGCATTAAACAAACATATATCTATGTCCTATGGTCACTGCATTGTCTTGCCAAATCAAAATAGAGACACGGTTCAAATCATATCAGTTCAAGACAAAGTAGCAGTGAAAGAATACAAAGCGTGAGAAACTACACGGCACAACAAGATTTCAGATGGGTGCCACGGGTCTACATGTATAACAACACTATTGGCTCTGTTGTGATGCTAGTAATGTGCATGATATGAGAAGTCAACTGTATACACAATTGAAATTGAAATCAATAGAGCTATTGATAAGAGCAAGCCTGTTAAAGAAACATGCGTGAACATACATGTTGTGTCATTGAAGTTTCGATTGGATCCTTCAATTTAAAAATAAGTTTGTATGATTAAATACAGTGATACAAGAGCAAAGCAGTATGCACGATAGCAATCATAGTTAAAAAAGACGCGCCTAAGCGAGCACTTAAGCACGCCTAGGCTCTAGGCATTGGCGAAACGCATTGCGCATAACTACTCTTAATCTGTGCATAACTGCGCATAAGCATGCGCTTTGGTCAGTAAAGCGCAAGGCGGTGGAAAACGCACAATTAACGCCTAGCGCTTTTTTGAACTATGATATCAATGGAATCTTAAATTAGAACAGTTGTTCGTCAGGTTTAGGCACTTGTTCTACATGAACAGAGTACAGTAAGACGCAAGAATATAGTACTTAAAAATAGAAAATGAGCTCATAGACCTTACCACATTCTTGGTTCAGGACCAGTACAGAACAAGGCGTTCCCAGTCATCATCCAGTAAATGTGTCTTAGGAGAACGTAAGCGAATTTGATGAGTTTCTTTGCCGGTGAAGTACGTTTTCTTCAGGTAATTCCGATACTGCCACCAAGCATTCTTGAAGATAGCAAAGGTATTAGCACAGATTACCTCATCCTGAGTTTCCAAATCGATCCTTCTCTATAGAGAAAAATGGAAAAAATTATTGTATTATAACCATCATGCAGGTAGGATGTATGGGATAAATCAAAGTAATTGCCATGAATAACATTACTTACACATAACTCCTGGACAAACACCTGCCACTGGCATTTTCCTTCATCTTGTAAGTGCATCTAGTGCCCCTTAGTGATTTTGGTGTATTGAAGACTTATAGGTTAAGGGACTAATGTGTTTTTGAGTGTACACAGGTCTATAAGTCTATGAGGAGTTTGATATTTACAGAGAAAGTCGACCCCTAAAAATGAGGTTCTTCGACTGAAGACTTTGGATTTCTGAAGACTTTGAAAGTGAAGAAATTGGTGCAATCCTAAAGACTTGGTATTCATTCGAGGAACATGAAGCATGAAGACTTTTGTTTTCGTAGTTTCATTTTCTCTTTCTTGAGTCATAGGAAACACCGTACTGTTAAAGGGGGTCGAGGAAATATTAAGGAAAAAATTTCCATGTGATGCTCAACTGAAAATCCTACACCTACCAATCCCTTCGAGTGAAGCCATTGGAAATCTCATACAGTTCAGTCATATTCTTCAGTGACAGAGACGAAGTTCTTCTGGTCTCTGAGGAATTTGTTCTGACTGAGGAGTTAGGAATTCGCCAGTGCGGATTGCCTACACAGTGAGGAACTTGATAGCCCTGAGGATTTTGCTACTCAAAATTCTGACTGTTGCTGTGCTATGCGCCAGCTATCCCAAAATATCTACCCACCTAACGGTCATATCATTGAAGGGAATTTATTTCTTATCATGTCGGGCTGCTTCCTAGGCTATAAATAGCCGCCCCCTACAACCACTAGTTGGTTGGCTGCTCCAAGAGAGAAACTGACACTTGTCATTTGAGAGCATCCCATCCTCCGAGGACTTTGAGCAAAAATCATCAAGTGAGGAAAACCAAAACCCAAACACCTACAAACCCCAAGTGA